CAGAGTACACTGAAGTTTATACACCAAACTAAATTATATTATTGGTGCAGTTAATTAGAAATCAAGCAGCAATAGGAGGCCTAAGGTAAAGACCATCTGAGAGTGCAGTAACATTGGGGAACACTGCAGGGTGGTTGCAGAGCAAGGAATACTGCTCTGGTCCCATGAATGCCTTCTCAACATGGAGACTGCATGAGGGTCTCATAAAGAAGGCTTGTGCAAAGATCTCTGAGAAGGGAGGCAATCTCTGCTCACAAGATCTGGGAGGGTATTTGCAGATGGGGGCTGGCAAGGAGGAGAAAAGCCTTGCAGGGCAGAGATCATGGAATGCTTCAGGCTCTGCCCAGGTTCTCGGAACATGGAGTGATTTTTATTGCTGTATGTCCTCAATGCTTGGGAGATAAAAGCCCCTTGATGCACTGGGTGTAGTCAGACCACGTCGCTCCTCATCCATAATACTTCTGATGCAGCAGCACCCTGATAACAATTGGGTATAAACTCAGAGTACTAGTTTAGCATTTCTTAGAAGGATCACAAGTGCTTTTCCCTACCCCTCACCCACACTATCTTACCTATTCCTTTACCCTCCCCTTCCACGCCCATAAAATCAATGAGATTATGCACATAATAAAAGTATTTGGAGCCCAGAGCTTGGGGCCAACTCTCCCATGCTTGTGTTGGTCCCCTGGACCCATGGTGTAAATTCTACTCTTGTGTCTCTGTCTTTATTTCCTTTTCTCAATTCCTTGTTACCACCGGGACTAAGGGAACTCATATATGGGGTTGGGGTTGGTAATCAACAATAGAGAGCAGAAGGATGGTAACCAGAGGCTAGGAAGAGTAGTGGGGGATTGGTGGGAAGCAAGTTATAGATGGTTAATGAGCACACAAAAAAAATAAGAAGAATGAATAAGACCTAGTATTTCCTAACACCACAGGATGACTATAGTTGTCCTATAGTAAACAATGATTTAATTGTACATTTTAAAATAATGTTTTACATTATTATATATAATATATAGTATACTATATATTATATATTATATAATATATAGTAATGTTTACATTACTATAGTAAACAATGATTTAATTGTACATTTTAAAATAATGAAAAGACTATAATTGGATCATTTGTAACATAAAAGATAAATACTTGAGATGATGGCGATGCCATTTATCCTAATATGATACTATGGATTCCATGCCTGTATTGAAATATCTCATGGACCCCATAAAGATATATACCTACTTGTCCCAACCCGCAGGACGAGCAATGGAGACCCTAGGGAGGGAGTGGGGATTAAAAGAGAGAGACAGGAGACTCGGAGAATGGAGACAAGTTAAGGATCTGATCAAGTCTCGTTTATTAGCTACAAGGTGGTTGCTTATAAACAAGTAAGGGCAGGAAGTTCTGAGGGCTGAGGTCAGAGAGTAACCATGGAGACGAGGCTGCAGGCTAGCCTCCTAACTAGGAGGAATGTGAAACTTAAACAATAAGGGAAGCCCACAAGATGGAGGTTTAGGTAAGAGGAACAAAAGCTTAAGCAACATAGTTACAAGATGGCTACTGCTCCCCACAGGTCCCCCTTTTTTATTTAATTTTTGTGTGGCCGATTGCCTGTGGGGACCATGCCTGTCTTAGGTCAAGAGATACACCTGCAGTGAAGCTTTTTACCCTTACCCGTCATAGGGTGAGCGGGATTCATATCCCGGTCCCCTGTCTTAGGCAGGAGCATCTTACTGCTAGGCTCTCAGGTTGCCCGTCATTGGCTAACTGGTCCAGTTCATCAGGCGATGTCAGAAATGGTTGGTGGTGCTTATCAAACATCCACCGTAGCCTTGATCCAACTCCATTTCCCTGTCAGCCATTTCCAGCTTATGATAATGGACCTGTAGGGGCTGCATTTTTATGGAGTCAATCTGTTGTTTGACAAAAGCCATGACCTTGTTGAATATAAGAGGTCCAACAGTGAGGAGTAGGAGGAAAATGACAAAAGGGCCAAGGAGGGGGAGGATATAGGGGAGGAACCCATTCAACCCTCCCCACAATGGATTATCGAAGAGTGCTTTTCTTCTTTTTTGCCAGGTCTTTTTGCAGGGCTTTTATCTTATCTCTGACAACATCAGAACCGTTAGCATAAAAGCAGCATTTTTTTATCTAAGGCACACTCCTCCTTTCTGGGCGGTGAGCAGATCTAGGCCTCGTCAGTTTTGCAGGACTACTTCGGCTAGGGAGTCAAGTTGATCTTACATAATATTGTGATCCAAATCTGCTGTCAGTCGTAGGTATGAGAGTGATTAACAGGGATATCAATATTAAGCTCCACATGTTTCTGGAAGATTGAAAGAGGGGGAACAGGGAATAATCCTCAGGGCTTAACACATTCCCTGGGAGGGGTTATTATCCTCACATCCTGATGTTCCTTTACTGTCTACTTGTTTCACTAATCTCTCTGGTAGCCATCTGGCTGAATCTGCTTCTTTTGCATATACACAGACTGATCCTCTACCCCAAATCAATACGGGGTCAGGTCCATGCCAGGAGCCAGTCATAGGATCTTTCCACATCACTGATGCTAATTTTGTTTGAGTTTCTGATTGCCAATGGCGTTCTGCAGCAGAGTGTCCATTTTTGTCTAAAGTTAAAAAATTGAGTATAGTGAATGTGACATGAGGTTTCTGGGGGACCCCTTAATGGGGTATCATTCCCCCTTTTTCATTTTTTCAAAGGTAATTTTTAAAGTGAGATGGGGTCTCTCAACTATCCCTTGGCCTTGAGGATTATAGGGGATGCCAGTTAAATGTTGTATGTTTAATTGAGAGCAGAACCGGGCAAAGGCTGTGCTGGTACACCCTGGTCCATTATCGATTTTAATTTTTTGTGGACAGCCAAGGGTGGCAAAAGCAGATAGTAAGTGCCCAATGATGTGTTTAGTGGCTTCTCCAGTTTGGAGTGTGGCAAACACATATCCACTGTAGGTATCAATGCATACATGAACATATTTGAGATTTCCAAATTCTGAAACATGAGTTACATCCATCTGCCAGAGTGCATTAGGGACTAGGCCCCTAGGGTTAACTCCCAAATGGGGTACTGGTAAGTGAGTGGCACATTGTGTGCATTCCTTAACTATTTGTCTAGCTTGTTCCCTGGTAATATGATGTAATAATCTAAGGGAGTGAGCATTAAGGTGGTGTAGGTTGTGTGTGTGTTGAGCTTGAGATAGTGGGTCTTTAGCTTTTGTGGCATATGTATGAAAAACATGGGTGGCTAGGTTGGCTTGTTGATTGCCTTGTGACAGTGGTCCAGGCAATCCTGAGTGGGCCCACAGGTGTCCAATAAAAAAAAAATGAGTTCTGCTGATGATGAACTGTTGTGATTGTTTGAATAATTTTGCAGCTGAAGAGGTGTTTGATGATGGGAGCTGTCTCTAAATTAGGTATGGATTGAGCAATGTATGCACTATCGGTGTAAATGTTTAAGGGTTGATTAGGGAAAGCAGAGAATACTGCTATAACTGCTTGAGGCTCAGTAAGCTGAGCCGAGGATGATTGAGTTTGAAACTGCATGGTATGGCCCTGACTAACATAGGCAGCTATACCTGTGGATGAACCATCGGTGAACACTACGAGTCCGTTGGAAATGGGCTCAGATTTTGTGACTTTTGGAAAGATAAATTCATGTCTATTGGCAAAAGCAATCAACTTATGAGGGGGATAGTGGTTGTCCAATTGTCCTGAAAAGGAAGCCAATGCTATAGGCCAAGCCTCAGTAGTTTGCATGAGCCACTGAACTTGTTCTTTACTGTATGGCTGGATAATCAAGGAAGGTTCATAACCAAAATATTCCTTGCCCATTGTTCAGCCTTGGATAATTAGATTTGTTACCATAAGGTAATATGGTTCAAGGACTCTTTTTGGCGTGTTAGGGAGGTGTACCCACATGAGTGGAGTGGTTTGCCAAAATACAATGGTAGGGGATAATGAGGTTTGACAAATAATAAATTGGAGCGGCTTGCTATAATCTACAAAAGTGATGGTCTGATGATTGATGGCATGTTCCACAGTTCAAATAGCATGTATGCCCTGAGATGTTAACTCGTGAGTTGATGTGGGGTTTGGGTCTTCATTTAGAATATCATATAGTGGTTTGAGATCTGCCTTGCATAGTTTCAAATGAGGTAGTAGCCAATTAATATCTCCTAATAACTTCTGAAAGTCATTGAGTGTCTTTAGTTTATCTAACCTGAGTTGTACCTTTTGCATAGTAATTTGGCTTCCTTTTAGTTGGAAGCCTAAGTACATATAGGGGTCTGTGAGTTGCACCTTTTCAGGAGCTATTAGCAGACCATGTTGAGTAAGAGATGTTTGTAAGGCTTTAAAACAAGACAAAACATCTTGTCCAACTCTTCCTGCTAAAAGAATATCATCCATATAATGGATAATATAGATCTCTTTCCAGGTGTCTCTAATAGGTTGAATAGCTAAGGCAACAAAAGACTGGCATAAGGTTGGACTATTAGCCATGCCTTGAGGTAACACTTTCCAGTGATATCTTTTCATAGGTTCCTTAAAATTGGTAGAGGGCACACTGAAAGCAAAATGTTTTTGATCATCTGGATGTAATGGAATAGTAAAGAAACAGTCCTTTAAATCAATAACAATTTTATAGTAGTTTAGGGGTATGGTGACAGGAGAAGGGAGCCCAGGTTGTAGGGCCCCCATGAGGACCATGGATTTGTTGACTTCTCTAAGATCCTGTAGCAATCGCCATTTTCCTGACTTTTTTCTAATAACAAACACTGGTGTATTCCAAGGAGAATTACTAGGTTCTATATGCCCCACCCGCAACTGTTCCTGTACCAGTTGTTGTGTGGCAGCTAATTTGTCTGAAGAGAGGGGCCATTGGTCAACCCATACGGGGTTGTCTGATAACCAAGTAATTTTGTCTGCGTGGGCTACAGGACAGACCGCGGCCCCTACTGAAAATGCCCTACTACTTTCTTGTCTGTTTTTGGTTTAGATTCTATAGGGTTTTAAATTCCAGTTTGGGTTTTTCCTAACCCAGTGCCGGGCACATACCCGTGTTTAAGCATCTGGGCAGTAATGATCTCATTAGGACTACCTATGACCATACCTATCTGAGCCAGCAAATCCCTTCCCCAAAGGTTGAAGGGTAGGCCTGCAACAATATAAGGTTGGATTTGGCCTTGATTTCCCTTTTTATCTTCCCATTTTAACATTTTTGTACTTTTCTCGGGATTTTTGCTCTGACCAATACCAGTGAGATGAGTAATAGTAGCACTTATTGGCCATGTGGCAGGCCACTGGGTTTTGTTAATTATAGTCACACCTGCTCCAGTATCTACTAGTCCGGTAAATTCCTTTCCATCTAGCCATAATTTCATTATGGGCTTGTCAGGAGATATCACTTCTGCCCAATAGACGTCAGAGGAACCGAAGCCTAAGTTACCTCTGTCCTTTTTTATGACTCTATTATGGGTTTTATGGAGAGGTAAGAGTAAGAGCTGTGCAAATCTTTGTCCAGGGGAGATAGTACTTATAACTTTAGGGAAGGTTACCATGACTTTGATTTCTCCTGTGTAATCATTATCTATTTCTCCAGGGAGGACTTGTAGACCTTGTAGGGTAAGGCCACTTCGACCTAGAATAAGTCCAAAAGAACCCTCAGGCAGGGGCCCAAAGACGCCTGTGGGCAATGCTTGAACCCCCATTTCAGGTGTTAATACTGTGTGGGAGGTGGAACAGAGGTCCAATCCTGCACTTCCTGTTGTGGCTCGACAGAGGTTTGAAACAAATTGTTGGTTGGAGGAACAAAACTGACTGCCCCATAGATTTGTTTTTGCTTGGGGGCCTGGGGCTGGCCCCTCATTCCGTTTCCCTGATGTGGAGAAAGTGGTTGCCCTTGGGCATCCCTTTTGGATTTACATTCACTGGCCCAATGCTTTCCTCTCTTGCATCGTGGACATAAGCCAGGGACTTTTGTATTAAGGGAGGGTTTTTTATCAGCATTACAATCTTTAGCATAGTGACCAGCGGCGCCACATTGAAAGCACCTATTTTTTGACTTATTAGATAAGAACTGTTTCACAGTACAGCCCTGTAGGGCTGCAGCCATAGCTAATCCCTGTTGATAGGCAGAGCCTATGTCTGAGGACAGGCGTATATACCCTGAGAGATCTGTTTTCCTTTTATAAGGGCGGATAGCCGCTTGGCAGGCAGCATTAGCATTTTCAAATGCTAGTTGTTTAACAAAATCTGTGCCTGCATCTGCATTACCAAAAATTCTGCCTACCGCTGTAATGAGGCGATGTACAAATTCTGAAAAAGGTTCATCTGGCCCTTGTTTTGTGCTGGTAAGGGAGGCACGAACATCCCCCTTTGTAGGCAGCTTTCGCCAGGCCTTTGTACCCGCAGTTTGAATTTGGGCGTACAGACCTGCATCATACTGCATTTGTGCGTCGCTGGTAGCGTAATTGCCTTCACCAGCTAGCATGTCAAAATTCCAATTATTATTAGCCTGTGCGTTGTGGTGGGCAGTTTCCTTACAACATTCATAAAACTCAGATTTCCACAACAAATAATCACCTCCTGAAAGGGTGGCTTGGGCCAAGGTCTGCCAATCTCCTGGGGTAAGCCAATTTTCAGCCACTGATTCTAATACGGAGCAGTAGTGCCGTATTGTGCCACTGCAGTTTTTAGTTCTTTGATTATATTAAAATCGAAACCTGCATGATGCCTCCAAGCTGTCCCCTGCTGGTTGGTGGTTTCTGTCACCGGGTACACGCTTTGATCCTTTAAATCGAATAAGGTGTTAAGCTGAGGAGGTTGTCTTAACGCCACTCCCCTACGGGAATGTATGACACTTTGGGTAACTTGAGTTTTAGCCTCATTCTTTATTTTACCTATTTTTATTTTTTCAAGCTGTTCTATGAGCTCTTGATGCTCAGTTTCAAGCCTAACCTGTTCTTTTAGGTACTCAATTTTTTTTTGTAACCTTTTTCAGGGATCAATAATGGGACATGTCATTGGGGGTGCTGAGGGCCCCACCTTGTAAGGTGGAGGTCGCCGCCTATGGTGGAACAAATCTGAGTTTTTATAATGGTCCACCTCTTCTTCTAAGTCATCCCAATCTATTCCCTCCTCAGTGCCTTCATCTTCAGAATTATTTGCTCTTTCAATTAGCCAGGGGGTCTTTTCCTTTTTGGTGTGTCTAGATCCTGAGTTAGGGGCTCCCTGGGCAGACACCCTCTTTGGCCCTCTTTTTGTCTTTGCTCAAGGCGCATTTTTATTCTCAGCCTGGCATTGTGACTCTCCGGACGTCCCCTTCTTTGAGTCACTATGAGAGGACATTAAATCCTCCTCATTAGCTTGTGGCGACTGTGCCTCATCAGTTACAGACAATTGCTTAGAGTCACCTGGGCTCTTAGAACTGTTGAGGGTGCTTTTATCGAGTTCTCCCTTTAAGAGAGACTCTCCCTGAGTAATTACATTGGCAATGAGGGGGTCATGGCAGTTAAAATTTCATCTATCAGGTTCCAATAAGAAAAGGCTGTGACTGGGACCCTACAGTGCTTTAAAAGCACTGTAATAATCTTTTAAAGCATCTCTACCCTTTTCCACCATTTTTGGTCTATGGTTCCTTCCTGGGGAAACCAAGGGCAGACATCCTGAATATAGTCAAAATATTTACACAATCGTTTTATTTTCACCTTTACTCCCCGCACCTTTAAAGCCTTACTTAAACTCTCTATGAACAACTCATGCTGGCTGATTTCCTGTCCCATATTCGCCATCTGCTTACCAGAGTGCGAGTCCTTGGCAGGTTCCCATGATGCTTTCCTCTGGGTTTCTTAATCCTTCCGTGCCAGCTGACCTCGACGGCGTCCCTCACTGTGTCCCTCGTACTTGAGCTCTCACGTTGGGCGCCAGTTTGTCCCAACCCGCGGGATGAGCAACGGAGACCCTAGGGAGGGAGTGGGGATTAAAAGAGAGAGACAGGAGATGCGGAGAATGGAGACAAGTCAAGGATCTGATCAAGTCTCGTTTATTAGCTACAAGGCGGTTGCTTATAAACAAGTAAGGGCAGGAAGTTCTGAGGGCTGAGGTCAGAGAGTAACCATGGAGACGAGGCTGCAGGCTAGGAGGAATGTGAAACTTAAACAATAAGGGAAGCCCACAAGATGGAGGTTTAGGTAAGAGGAGGTTTAAGCAACATAGTTACAAGATGGCTACTGCTCCCTACACCTACTATGTACCCACAAAAATTAAAACTAAAAAAAAAAAAAACTCAAAAAAAGAGCTGAAGGCTTTTGTGAGCTGGGTATAGTGCTAAGCATTTTACTTAAATTATCTCATTGTATAAATAGTTAAATACTTTCAGCCACCCTCTGAAGTAGATAATAGTTATGCCACCTTACAAATAAGAAAATAAGTTCTAGAAAACTTAGGTAACTTTCTCATGTTCACAAAGCAATAACTGATTAAACTGGAATTTAAATTAGGTCATATGACCAGTTATTAAACAAAATATTTTATTGGTGTATCAAGAAGATTATTTGGCTCATTAATTTTTTTAGGAATCTTTTCTTCAAATAAAAGCTTGGGCAAAACCACAATACGTAAATTGAATAAAAATAGAGTGCTTTATTTTGAAATGTGTGTTGGTGGGTGGGAGAGAAGGAAGTTACAGTTTAGAGTCTGATCTAATTAAATCTTCTTTACCAGTTCCCCCATTATGGGTGTAATTATGCACCTTTCCCTCAAAAAGATATCTTGAAGTCCTGACTCCCAGTACCTCAGAATGTGATCATATTTGAAAGTAGGTCCATTATGGATGTAATTGAAGTGAGGTCCTACTAAAGCAGGGTGAGCCCCTAACCAATTTGACTAGTGTCCTCATAAAGAAGATGATGTAAAGACAGAAAGACACAAAGGAAGAACCCCATATGATGATGAAAACAGAGACTGGAATAGGCAGCCAGAAGTCAAGGAATGCCAAAGTTGATAGCAAATCACTGTCAATAGGAAGAGTCAAGGAAGGATTCCCTACAGGTTTCAACAGGAGCCTGGTCTTGCCAATACTTTTATTTGGGACTTTTATCCTTCTGAACTGTGAAAAATGATGGCAGTTGTTTTAGGCACCCAGTTTGTGGTAGTTTGATAAGGCAGTGCTAAGAAACTAATACATCCTCTCATGGGGGCTCTCAGAGGCAACATGCAACTCAAAAAGTATGCATAGCTACTGTGAGGATAGGATAAATGAGAAAGTTCTACATAAAGCTTTGATTTTAAAGAAGGAGAAGTCATAAGGAGGAAGTGTTAAAATATCTGTTCAACAGTAATAAACTATATAGAATTCTAACATGGATGGGTTAGATGGTAGTACGGAATCAGGTGAATTTATATGGCTAACTTATATACCAGAGTTGCTATGGCAGATGATGGAAAAGGAATAACAGGTTAGGAGAAATGGGCAGGTAAGGTGGACACACCATGTAAGTTCAGGGTGGAAAAAAGTGATCACACTCTATGGGAGAGCACAGAGAACATGGCTTATCAAAATAGGAAGGTTGCACAGATGAAAAAGAAACAGGCATCACTGAGAGCTTGATGGTGCTCTGCTTGGAGGAAGGGACTGGTGACACTGGGCTCACTAATAATAATGGAGAGATTGGATCCTAAAATTGTAGTGACAGAGAGGCAGGACTCAAATGTCAGGAGCAAGGCAGGCATAATGAGCAGCAGTCAGAATAGTAGTGGTTTGTCTGCTTGAGCTGCTGTCACAAAATACCACAGGCTAGGGGGCTTAAACAACAGAAATGTGTTTCCTTACAGTTCTGGAGGCTAGGAGTCCATGATCAAAAGGACAGTGAATTCAGATTATGGTGAAGGCTTTCTTCCTGCTTGCAGACAGCCACCTTCTCACTGTGTCTTTGTATGGCCTTTCTTCTATATGCACAAGATGTAGGGGGTGTACAGATATCTGATTTCTCTTCCTTTTTATAAGAACACTAACTATTAGATTAGAGCCCCCACCTTTATGAAATAATTCAACTTTAATTATCACCCAAAAGTCCTATCTTCTAATACAGTCACATTGTGGATTAAGCCTTCTACCTATGTCATTTAGTACATACAATACAACTTACAGCATATAACACATAGCCAGAGGGACCTAAACTGAAAAGAGCTACAGAGATAGTTGATATAACATGGTGTCACTGAAGGAAAGATAGATGGGTAGCCAAACACTGGTACTGTTCAATCTATACAACCAAAAGAAAACAAGAATCCATTCCTGGGAAGAGAGTATTGCACATATAGTTGATTTTTCAACAAACCTTCAGAGGATGAAGGGAAAGTTTTCCTTTGGCACTGACAGTTTTGGCACAGTAAGCAGTATACCAAAACTCTGCTTTTCTGGAAATTATAGTCAAGAGAAACCTGGGGCCTGGAGGCAGCATGAAGGGCCACTATCACACTGACACCAACACAAGACAAAAAATTACAAAGGCTCAGTCCATCACAGCCACTGCCAACACCATGGGCCACATGGGAGCCAGAGGGTTGTCCTTCCATTGCCCATGCCACACCCATACCAAACCTACTTCCCAGAAATCCGAAGATCTACCCACCCACCTGGCCCACCACTGCCACAATCTACCTAAGCAAGCCACCTGGAGGTTCAAGAATTAGTCTATCTGGATGTGCTAACACTGGTGCTGGTTCAAACCACCCTGGGGTCAAAGGATAAGCATGCTTGGCCTACTACTCCCACCACTGGGGCCTAAGAACTGGCTCATCTGACATCACACTTCCCAGAAAAACTTTACCACCCAGCATGCACTCACTACTGCACCCTAACCCACTGAAGCAATCACAGACAACACTGACGCTGTTTAGAATCAAAGAAATTATCCAAGAACTATACTGCTGTACACACCCATAAATAGAGCCAAAGTGCCCTACCTAACCAACACCATAAATACATCTCCAGAGAAAAGTCTTCCCCTATGAAAGCAAATCCAAAAATTTACAAAAAGCAACTATTACACCCAATGCACATATGTCAACATAAGAACACAGAAACATGAAAAAACAAGAAAACATGACACCTCCAAAGTAACACAATAATTCTCTAACAGAAGCTTCCAATAAAAAAATTTATGAAATGCCAGAAAAATAATTCAAAATGATGACATTAAAGAAGCTCAGTGAGATAAAAGAGAACACAGAGAAGTAGTATAAAGAATCAGAAAACCATATCAGTGTATAAATGAGAAATTTACTAAAGAGATAGATATAAAAAAGAATCAAATAGAAACTCTTAAACTGAAGAATTCATTGAATGAAATTAAAAAATACATAAAAGAACTTCAGGAGTAGACTAGATCTAGCAGAAGAGTCTCAGAACTCAAAGACAGGTCTTTTGAAATAACCCAGTTAAACAAAAGTAAAGAAAAAAGAACAACAAAGAAAATGAACAAAACTTACATGACATATAGATTATCATAAAATGGCCAAATGTTTAAATATTTGATGTTCCAGAAGGCAAAGAGAATACCAATGGGACAGAAAACACTTATAATAAAATAACAGCCAAAAACTTCCCAAGTCTAGGAAGAGACTTAGATATATAGGATACAGATACAGGGAGTTCTGAGATCCCCAAATACATACAACCACAAAATGTCTTCTCCATGGCACCTTATATTTAAACTATCAAAAGTCAAAACAAACAGATTTTTTTAAAAACAGCCAGAGAAAAGCATCTAATCAATTACAAGGAAACCCCCATCTGACTGATAGCAAATCTCTTAGCAGAAACCTTATAGGCCAGAAGAGAATGGAACAATATATTTGAAGTACTATATGAAAAAAATCTTGTTAATCTAGGGTACTATAACCAAAATTATCCTTCATAAATGAAGGAGAAATAAAGTATTTCCAAGAAAAGCAAAGTGGAGGGAATTTATTAGCACTAGATGTGTCTTATAAGAAACGCAGAAGGGAGTTCTACACCTAGAAGCAAAAGGACAATATCATCATAACAACATGAAAGTATAAGACCCACAGGTAGAGCAAACACACAAATAGGTAAAGAAAAAAATCCAAATGTTACCACTACAGAAAACCACCAAGCCACAACAATAAAGAATAGGAGAGAAAAAAGAAACAAAGGATATATAAAACAATGATACCATCATAAAAACATATGGAAGTATAAAACCTACTGATAGAGCAAACAATCAAATAAGAAAGGGAAAGAACTCCAATATTACCACTACAGAATACCATCAAACGAAAATGAAAAAAAGAAAGAAAGAAAAAACAAAGGGTACACACACACACATACACACACACAAACCCAAGAAACAAGTAACAAATGGATAGGAATAAGTGCTTACATTTCAATAACCTTGAATGTAAAATGATGGAACTTTCCACTTGAAAGGTATACATTGGCTGAATGTATTTTTAAAAAGCACAACCAAAAGAGAGATCCAAAATTGACACCCTATTGTCAAAATTGAAAAAGCTAGAGGAGCAAGATCAAAAAAACTCAAAACCTAGCAGAAGACAAGAAATAACTAAGATCAGAGCAGAACTGAAGGAGATAGAGACACAAAAAGCCCTTCAAAAAATCAATAAATCCAGGAGTTGGTTTTTTGAAAAGATCAACAAAATAGACCACTAGCCAGATTAATAAAAAAGAAAAGAGAGAATAACCAAATAGGTGCAATAAAAACAGATAAAGGGGAAATCACCACAAATTCCACTGAAATTCAAACCATCATCAGAGAATATTACAAAAAACTCTATGCACGTAAACTAGTAAACCTGGAAGAAATGGATAAATTCCTGGACACTTGCCTCCGCCCAAGCCTAACCCAGGAAGAAGTCAAAACCCTGAATAGATCAATAACAAGATCTGAAGTTGAGACAGTAATTAGGAGCCTACCACACAAAAAAAGCCTAGGTCCAGAGAGGTTCACAGCTGAATTCTACCAGACACACAAAAAGGAACTGTTACCATTCCTTCTGAAATTATTCCAAATAATCCAAAAAGAGAGAATCCTTCCCAAATCATTTTATGAGACCAACATCATCCTGATACCAAAATCTGGCAGAAACTCAAGAAGAAAAGAAAACTTCAGGCCAATATCCATGATGAACACCAATGCAAAAACCTTCAATAAACTACTGGCAAGCTGATTGCAACAGTACATCAAAAAGCTTATCCACCATGATCAAGTAGGATTCATCCTGGGGATGCAAGGCTAGTTCAACATATGCAAGTCTATAAATGTAATTCACCACATAAACGGAACTAAAGACAAAAACCACATGATTATCTCAATTGATGCAGAGAAGTCCTTTGACAAAATTCAACAGCCCTTTATGCTAAAACCCTCAATAAACTAGGTATTCACAGAACATATCTCAAAATAATAAAAGCTATTTACAACAAACCAATAGCCAATATCATACTGAATGGGCAATAACTGGAAGCATTCTCTTTGAAATCTGGCACTAGACAAGGATGCCCTCTCTCACCACTCCTGTGCAATATAGTACTGGAAGTTCTAGCCAGAGCAATCAGGCAAGAAAAAGAAATAAAGGATATTCAAATAGAAAGGAGGAAGCAAAATTGTCTCTACTTGCAGAAGACATGATAGCATATCTAGAAGACTCCATTGTCTCAGCCCAAAATCTCCTGAAACTGATAAGCAACTTCAGCAAAGTCTCAGGATGCAAAATCAATGTGCAAAAATCACAAGCATTCTTATACACCAATAACAGACTTAAAGAGAGCCAAATCAAGAAAAAACTGCCATTCACAATTGCTACAAAGAGAATAAAATAC